CGCGGCTAGCTCCCCGCGCAACCAGCTAAAGCAGCCAGTGCTCCTGGCAGTGGCGGCGGCGGCGGTGGAGGGCCATCTCTCCACAACAATAACACAGAGTAGCTGGGAACTGACAGATAGTTCCAATTGGTAGTTTTTCAGGCCGAGGTGCACGACGCGCGACCGAATAAGTCAGCAGCATGCTGCAGTGGCTCTTCACAGTAGACTGCCACATTTCCTTGAATGTGTTGTCAGTGTGAGAGAGCGCAGAGGGACTGCTGGTGTGTGGAACAATGTGGGCACAAAATTGTCATCAGAGATGAACAAGGAAAAAAAGAAACAAACCCTGACATGTGGAGCCAGAGATGAGACATTGTCTGGGTATTTGTGTGGATGTGACATTCGTATGTTTTACTGCAGTAGAAGATGTGAAATGTGGGGCTGTTGTGTTAAAATCAGTTGTAAGCAAGCAGGAAATTCCAGGAGCTGAAAATGAATCGTATATCTGTCAACACCTTGTTTTCAGACAAATAATTGAGGCTGTAATTGTAGCTTTGTAAAACTTCTCTTTGAGTCGCCTACACCTCATTATGACTAAGTGCGTTTCATGTCGGAGTATCTACTATTCCAAACATCTGATTGGTTAATTGTTTGCACCAGTAAAAAGGTTTAGAGACGTTGCATGAAATGCAAAGTTTGCTGCAGCTGCAAACGGTAAAGGTGCATAAAAATCTGTTATTTAAGTATGAAGTTTTGAGCATAGTTATTTCTGTGTTACACACAAGCAGTAAAGCCTTAATATTTCTCAGTGACTTACAATACGTGGTCATGGTATTGAAATTAAATAAAATTGTTAATACATTATTTCAAAGATCAATGGAGGTTGACTCATTATTGTACGGATGACACATTATTCTCTGATTTTCATACAAACTGTCATCCGGATTGCTGTAAAGAGACACTTTCCTAAGTGAAATGACTAATTTTTTTTTTTTTAACTCTCCTTTTCTGCGTCATGTCTTACAGAAGTCACTCTGGTCTTATTTGGTCTTAATGAATCACCGCTGAGTAAGTCGAACTGGAAAATCCTATGTTTTTGTCTCCAGCTGCTTTGAGTCCGTTGGATATGTTTGACTGCAATAACAAACCCTCGCTGAATTTGACTCCTGAATCGTTTCAGGGCCAATTGTCAGTAATGAAACATGAAAAGTTCCATATTGTTAAGAGTATCAGGGACCTGCTGTTTCTTTGACTCTCCCAGAAGAAAGAGGAACGTTGGTATATTGGCAGAAAAAATAGATTAAACTGCAGTTAGGGAAAATGGAGTTGTGACTGATAGATTGGACCAGAATGGGTTTTTCTTCCAGTAAGACTCTTTAATTTTTTCCAAACCTTTGGCAGAGCGATGCAGCGATAACATGCTTAGTCTCTCCCAGTGACTTAATCAGGACGTGGCTGGGCTTCGTTTGAAATCCTTTCTGCTTGTGTTTGGCATCTGGTTTTTACTCGGGTCTGCTGCTGTTCACACTGTGAATTTGGACTTTGAAACCTTGCTGTTCCTCATCAGCGCTTTAGCCAATCATTGCAGGTCGTTCGAGAAGTGAAGAACTGAAGTTAGAGATTTGATTTAATGGTACTTGGATGGAACTCTTCAAAATTTCACCTAATCTTTTACTTATTTTCTCTATCCAAATGTTTTTACCCCCCTTTTGTTCCTTTTTTTTCATTCTCTTTTTCTGTGTGTGTTCCTAAGCATCTAGTCTTTGCACCATATGGTCCAATGTGAAAAAAAACCCTCCTTATGGGGCCTGTCTACATGACTCTACAGACTGACTGAGTTTGTGCGTGTGTGTGAAAGAAAGAAAGAGAGAGAAAATGGAGATAAAATATGTGTATTCCTGTATAAATGTGTGTATAACAGTCTGGTCTGCCCTGGCTGCAGCTGTAAAAACAAAATTGAAGCGGTGATGTCAGTTACAATTAGCATAACTCCGTTCTCTAACGGCCACATGCACGTACATGGTCCAAACAGAGGACATGCCTTTGGTCCACAGAGGTCATCATTCTGAACGCCACAGTTGTTAACCTGGTTAAGTTGAATTCTATAACTTCTCGGTGTCATCGCTCTCTTGTTGTTTTCCTTTTTCTGTTTTGTTTTTCGCTTGTCGTTTATTTTGTGTAATTGGCGTAAACCTCAGGGATGTGGTAATGACTTCTGGGGTTAACGAGCTTCTGCTAACAATCAGCAACACTCTCTCCCACTCTTATACACACATATACACAAACTCTCTCCCACTCTTATACACACATATATACAAAATACACACACAGACGCACACGCATCAACCCACTGTATGTACATTTAGCTGAGCCTTTACAGCTTAATGAAGAAATATAATCCAAAAAATTATGAAAATGATTTTAAATTAAAAAAATGGGAAAAAAACCCTTTCAGAATCTGTAGTTTTGTACAACACTAAGAATACAACACAGAAAAATTAGAATAATAAAATAAAAATAGCCACAAATTAAAAGGAAGAACAGGAGTTGAGCTAGAAAACTGAAGGTGAGAACAGAAGTAAAAAATAACAACTCAGAAGGTGAGAACAGAAGTAAAAAATAACACAACAAAATCAACTCACTCAGTCATTATTGTTGTTAATGGTTAGCGAAAGACTGGTGGAAACTTAGCGCAATTACAATGTTGTTCATAATTACCCTTTAAATGACCCAAAATGCCCATGCAGCATGTTTCACTGAGGCAAAAAAAAAAAACTCTTCACTTCACATTTCACTCAAACAGGGCAGAACGATGAGATGATTTCTGGATGTACAGCTCTTAGCCTTATTGATGACTGGAATCTGACTTGTGTCTGTTGACGGCAGCAGGATGGGAATTCTCCTGGTGTGAACCCTGCTTTAATCTCTGCCTCTCTCTCTCTCTCTCTCTCTCTCTCTGTCTCTCTCTCTGACTCTGGTATCTTGATATGGTCTGTGTTCAGCTCTGACTTTTAAACATTTACATTTCTGCTTTCAAGTGCTGTTTATATATGGCCCTTATCTGCTATCACACACACACACACACTAGGACACATTCAGACAGGGACAGACGGTGAATCAAACCCCTTTTTTTTTCGTGCTGACTGTTACACTGTTACTATGTCCATAATAGGACAGGAGAAGAGAGAACCAGGACAGTAGAGCCACAGAGAGGCAGGGCTGGGGATTCAGATCATTTGCCACCTGAAGTTTAGTGGCGAGGTGAGGTGAGCAGTGGAACTTCAGTGATTTTACTTCTTGGTGTGTATGACACTCCACTGATGCCCTTTCAGCCTCTGTGACTGAACTGCACCTTTGGGAACAGTAGAGGTTCGATGTCTCGGTCAAGGACGCTTAAAGTAAAAAAAAAAAAAGGTGGAATCTTGTCACAAGGGGAAAGATGCTACGGTCTTCAGTCACACTGCCACCCTACAATGCCGCCAGTGTCCTGTGTGTGCGTGGACACCGCGCTATCTTGATAAACTGCTGGCCGATACGGGACACAAAAAGTGTGGGAAAACCCCTCTGGGACCGAGGGCTCCAGACGCTCTGTCTTTACTCCGTAGAAAAAGCTGTGAAAAAGCTGCGCATTTTGTTTCCACAACTTTTTGTAATTGAATTGGATTTGAATATCAACCAAAGCATAAACTAGAGTTAGAAATAAAAGAAATACCTGCACAGTCCAACAGTGACTACCGCTGCCTCACCCTCCTCACCCTCCTCACCCACATTTAAATATTGAACACTTTCCCAGATTGTAAAAAGACCATTAAATGTTCTGTATTTCACAGAAATTAAAGCCACAGGATATATATTTCAAATGTATCCAAAAAAAAAATCCCCCAAATGTGATTAAACTCTGTCTTTGTTGCAGAGATCAGGTTTGTGAATAAGAATGAAACGGTCATGGTTAAATCATACTGTACGTTAATACAGTGGCAATTCATATATATTTTTTATTTTTTTGTTTCTCTGAATCAGATATCAGGCAGTAGAAATCTGTGTGGATTCCAGGACCGTTTGTATTCTCCCTTGTCAAAAAAAAAAAAAAGGAAAAAAAAGAGTTCCACCTTTGTTTGATCAGTGGAGAAGAGGTTGTTGCTAGGGAAACCCAACATTTCAGAGACCAGTAACATTAAATTCATTTTAAGTAACTCGAAGTCAAAGATTCATTCATTTGAATTTAATCCACTCATTGTTCTTCAACTTCCGTACAAATTGCCAACACCTGCACCTTCAGAAATAATTCTGTGGGTTGGATTGCTCTTGGAGGACCAGGACTACTCTGACTTAAGTACTCAGCCCCAGTAATACAACTTGGAGTGTGTCACTGAGCCCCAGAGGACTCCAGAAGTGCTGCACAGAGTTGACCCTGACATTTGAGCTTCCCTTTACAACAGCACCAGATCAGCCAGCCCTGCTGCAGAAAAAAAGGGAGGCTCACACACACACACACACACACAGGACATCTTCTCATGTGATTGGTCATGTAGAGACACACGGGTGAAAGTTAAAGGCGTCAAATATGTTGTTGTTTTCTCTTCTAATTTGTTGGATTTATTAGTTTGACCTCAGAGATTTCACGGCCGTTAGTTGTTTGACTTCAGTTTCTTATTTTGAGAAATGAAGTAGTACTCATGTTTTATAATAAGTTTCAGTTGTTCTCTAGAGTACTATGCTTTTGTACATTGGAGTTTTACATGAAAAACTCATTTGAAGAAGTCCTCAGTGGTATTGTTGTGCTGCTATTGAAAACGAACCACACTGGGGAGAGACATTCACGCTGCAGACAACAGTGGCCTTTCATCCCAGTGTACACAGCACACAGTGGGTTTGTGTAACGTGATCCGTGCCACTTTCATATGTGGCCTGTATGTAAATAATGGATACAACAAGCTTGAAGACATGGCTACAATGACTGACGGCAGTCCCATCTAAACTATCATTACATTTACTGTGATCTTGGCCAAAAAAAAAATTGGAATTGAGCACTGAGTCCTGACCACGGTCCTGACCAGAGTCCTGTCCAGGGTCCTGTCTCAGTCCTGATGCTGACTAGAACCTGAGGGGATGAAAATCCAACACATTTTGGTCTGGGAGTTTAATCCCAATTAAATCATTTCCTACTGGTCCATTATTTTCCAGCAATGGTTGTGGTTTTAAATCATTTCCTACTGGTCCATTATTTTCTAGCAATGGTTGTGGTTTTATTTTTTTATTTTTTTGTTTTTGTTCTACTGCAGGTAGTGTGAAAAGAGCTTTAGGAAGAAAGGGAGAAGGGGGAGACAGGGGGAGGGAAAAGGAAATCACACATAGGTGGAAAGAATCTCACCCCTGCTCCTGTTTCACACAGACGTTGTCAGCGACATATTCACCGCACACACAAACACACACACACACAATGATTTACTACCTCTTATGTAAAGATGCTGAACGACTAAAAGTGCATGTGTTTGTGTGAGTGAGTGAGTGCGTGCACCCTCCCTCTCCTCTCCTCCCTCCTCCTCATCTGATTCTTATCATACTGTTTGACCCAGAGCTGCTTTTAAGGTAATGAATTCACATCTCATCCTCTTTCTGTCCCCCCATCTCTGCATCTCTGACTCTTTCTATTCTAGTCTCTTCTAGTTTGTTTACACTCTCACTTCCCTCCCCCCTCTCCCCCCGCCCTCTCTCTCTGTCTCTCTGTGTCTTTTTCTCCCTCTCGCTTACCAACATGGGACAAAAAAGAAGAAATGTTTCCTTGAACCTAAACTTTTAGCAAACCCACTTTATTTTTCACAGCACTTCTTCTAACCTGAGTCGTACAAACTCAACTGTGTTTTAGTCTCAGGAATTATTTCTGCCGTAGTTTGTGTCGGGGACGTTGTTTACACGATTAGTATCAGTGTTATTTTTTTTTGGTGTCTTTTAACTTGTTTTATTTGAGACAAAAGGTTTGTAACTACTTTCATATTTTAATTGTAAAAATTAACAAGTGTAAGTAGGTTTTTGGTAAACATTTTATACAATCACAGTTTTTTTTTCTGATCAGGTTTTAAAGACTTCCCTTGAGTTACCTCGATGATGTTGGATGACTGACTTTTTTGTCAGCTCTCAAATAGCTTTGATAAATCCGATGTTTGAATCAGACCCGGAGGATAAACCCTGTCAAGCATTTGCTTGTCTTTAGGATTTTAAAATCACTGCCAGGTTTGTGGTTTCTATCGTTACGATTCTTGCATAAGTGAACTTTTAATGGCTGAGCTACATTTTTGAACAGGCAACTAAGACAAGAAAAACAAGCCTTTACTGACACACCAAGGACACACTTTTTGTTTTTATGAATGTCATTCATCAAATACATTCATCACAGAAAGATTAGAGAGGAGTGAGACAAAAAAAGTTGAAGAAGGAAGAGGGAGGGACGAGGCATGAAGTTAAAGATGAAAGGGTTGAGGACTGTTGTAAGAGAAAGATTCAAACAATAAATGTGTTGTCGGTGCTCGTCCCTGCTTGTACTTGAGCGTCTGTGTGTGGACTTTGAGGGTGTACCAAAAGTTAGATGGGTGTGAGAAATAAAGATTACATACCTGTGTGCTTATTACTGATCCGCAGTCTAATCTCTTGCATATCTCTGACCCAGTGAAGGTGTCCCCGTCCTGAAGACAATACTTCATTGTTCTTCTCTGTGCAGTTGAATCAGATTGAGGAGTTCAAACTGGACTGCTGGGACAGGAGTTGTTTATTGTAAACTATGTAGGAATAAAATCCAATACAGTGTAGTAATGACTGCAGCAGTGCTGCCCTCTACCTGTTTTTGTCATTTCTGATTTGTATTTTTGGGACTTTTCTGTGGGTACCAGTGCACCTAACCTCTGGTCTAACCTTTACAACATTTGAACTGTATTTAAAGCTCTCTCTGCAGGGAAGTGAAGGAACCTACACCTGTGCACATGTATGAACACTAGGTTGAAGCCAATTCCTGGATACATGATACTTAGGCCCATCAAATAAAAGATGTCACATACAGGACGCGGTGCAGTTGAGAAACTGAAGTCAGTCATCCTGAGGTGAGATAAAGAAATCAACCACCGTCTTTCCAAATCACATGCACACATTGCTCAGTCCTTTGTAACAAGATTCACTGTGCTACAGGGGAGGTACACAACAATGTCAGAGTGCACACAGTTGCAGTAATCCTACAAAATGAAATGTGCCTGTCACATGTAGGTTTACTGTGCTGTTGCTCCTGCCTCTGGGGCAGATAATGATTTTAAAATAACCTCAGCAGAATCTTTGAGGAGGAATGTTTATGCACCTTCCTTTCTCTTTTATCAGTGATTATCCAACAATACACAATTAACGGGCAATAGCTTTTTTTGTCAATGTTTCAGTCAGAGAAGGCGTGTCGAGGCAACACTCCCTAAATAATGGCCTCCTTTATCCCACTAACAAAGTGTACCATTAAAACCACTCACAGCAATTCCATACAGATAATCACAGGTCATTGATTTCAGTTTATCACGTTGCAAGGACAGGATTAGATCAAACCAGCCATTGTGTATGAGCATCTGTGCAGTTTGATGCCAAAGAAAACAAAAGTTGTTTGGATCACATGAAGTTACCAACAGCGTCTCAGACACAGAGGCATTTACTCAACATCAATAGAAACACAGCAGCAGGAGGAGATTTGGCTCAGGAGTTTGTTTGTTTTGTTTTTTTAATTTATTTTTGGAAGCAGAGAACAATAAAAATTTTAAAGTGTGGACAAAATTTGATATGGTAAGATTACCAGGAAAAACCTGTTTGTCCAACTTGCTAATGACTAGTAATACGTGAAAAACATCACGCTGTGTCTCGGTGTGTGTGAAACATGGGCTAAAACCAAGTGAAAATGTGCAAGATGAATGTGAGCTCACAAAATAAAAACCTGCAGAGATCCTTTACTTCAGGCCAAGTTCTAGCGTCGATGTGTGGCTGCGCTGCTTTAATTAGGGAAGAAGTTTTATTACTTCAAAGAGAAAGTGGAGCTGGTATTTTTTAAAGTTTCCCAAGGTGCCAGCCGTGTACAAATGGTTTCACCTGCTCTTGTCAAAAGAGAATTAGCCTGAAAGTTGAAACAATAGAAGAGTCATAATTCATTTTTTTCATTTAAAAGTTTTCAGGTCCCTTTTATGCCTCAAGTATATCTGCGGGTTGACGATGGGCTAAATAATTGATATAGCGATTTAACCTTCTCGGTGCAAATCTCCTCTTCTCTCATCAATGATTTTCCTGCTGCCATTGTTCTTTTGGGTGTAATAATCACTGCTGTAAAAACATTTCTCATTTTTCCATTGCTGTATTGTAGTCGCAGCTAATGTTAATCCCAGGCAACAGAGAAGATTGCTTAGTCTGCCCCGTGGAACATGTTTCTGACTGTTTTAGTGCAGAATGGGGCCCTGCAGTTAATTCACTTAGAGCGAGTTGTCTACCTCTGTACTCCCTGTGGGCCGGCTCAGCTCTCATAACTATCCACTCTCTGAGTGTATCGGTGTGCATGTGTATAGTTGTTATGCAGGAGAGAGGAAATGAAAGCTCAGACTGAGCCCCAAGGCCTGCTAAACTGTCTCAGTGTCCTTGACATGCATATGTGTGTGTATGTGTGTAGGGGGATGTAAGTGTGTGAGAAAACAAGAGTGAGTGTGGACAGTTTGGAGGCAACACACTGGTGTGCAGTCTTTTTTTTTTTTTCCCCCGTAAGGATTCTCTGAAATATGTGTACTACACATGGAAATATACAAACCTCAATATTTTGAAAGTTTTTGAAACTTTTTTTTACAAATAAAACACAAAAGGCTAAATAATAATAATTTAAAAAAAGCTTAAAAAAAAACAAAAAGTTATCAAGGTAAAAAGCTTTAAACCAAGCATCATCCAATGTCTTGTTTTTGTGGTTATTTTGGTTTGATTGTTTCTTCACTTCCATATGTTTCCTAAAACAATTTGAAATTGAGAAAACTGTGTTAAGTTTATTTTTCTTAAAACTTTAAAACTATTCTACTGTGTTAAGTTTATTTTTCTTAAAACTATTCTGTTTCCTCTTCTGGTCTGAAACTAAACTGTGAGTTTATGAAAGTGTACCCAGTTTCCTGGCTTGCCCCCTGAAACCCACCCAAGTTGTGATCACAGGAAGTTAAAACAATGTTGTCTGGTCTATGTTTGTCAGATACACACTCACTATGAGTCCCTTGCTGGTCGTCATAGCAACGGTAGACCATAGTTAAGAGGACTGCAGAAAAAAGTATTCAGGTTTGAATGTCATCGCTAACACAAATATCAAAACAAATGGTCAAACACAGTCAAATATCAGTTAAAGTATAGTATTCTGAAAGAAATGTTGAAAATAATAATAAATGTGTATATGAACATTAATGGAAGTCACACAGTAGTGCAGTTCTGCTGCATGATGCATAATAGCACCTACAGGAGGAAGATAGTGGTACTACATGTTCTCTGTTCACACAGAACAAATACCCAAGTAATTACCACAATACTGCAAACCTGCACTGAAGCTTAATGTCTGACTCAAAATTGGCAAGGCAGACATACGTGGCACAAACAACTACCCTTCACTCCCCGCCTCCCCGTCCGTGTTCATGACATTTGCCAGGGAAGCGGGCTGAGAGCTACGCTAACTGGCTAGCATATTCAAACAACATGAATTGGTTTATGTACAATAACCTCAAGTCAAACAAACAGACGCAGAAACAGGCCTGGATCAAACAGAGGGAGGTTCGTTTCCTTCCCTGCTTCCTGCAATCTAAAACATTAGCAGGTACAGAGGAACCAGGGGTTTCCAAAAGCTCTTATTTATTGTTGTGGGCCAAACAGCAGCGTCACCTGGACCTGTTGTACCGCTGCTACTGGAATGGTTTAAGAATAAAGAAAACAAAACGGGAAAAAAAAAAGGATTCAGGAGCCCACCAGGCCGTAGTTGAGTTTAGAGACAAAAAC